CAGTGAAGAGCGTGAGAAACACACGAGGGGAGGGCGAGTGGGGGGAGAAGAATAAGACCAGAGCTTGGGATCCGTCAAAATATCCAAAGAGTGAGGTGAGTGATGGAAATCAGGACACGTGTCGAAGAATCGAGGCATCAAGACATCAAATCAAATAGTCGGACAAAATCCTGTGTGACGAGGTCTACGTTTCGTGTGGAATCAGGAAATGTCACTGATTGGATAAAGCAATCACATCAACCAATCACAGCCGTCCATTTCAACCGCCTCTTCTGGGCCCACACGTTTTATACGAGCCTGGCCTTTGAAACGGCAAGGTGTGACCCCCCCCCCCTTATCGTTTTGATTTTTTTGTCCTTAATTAAACCTTTAATTAATATTAATATTGCTAATTATTTATTAGGCTAATCAAAACTTTTTTTTTTGTCTCATCTATAACCAAATTTAGAAAATATGGACAACAACAAGAAGAAAGAATAATTTCAGCAACTTTTTCTCAAAATGGAATAATGATAATATATGGATCTTTGACTTTGTAATCAAGGCTAAAGACATTGAACACAAAATTAACCAAGGTAAAACTTTCATATTTATTCTAAATTTCAACGCTAAGCACGAATTTCTCACGAGATAAAAAACAGAAGAGAAAAGAAATCACTCATTATTCTACCTTTTTTTTTAAATTAGGTCTACAAATATAATTTATATGTTTTCTCCAGCATACTATTTTTCTTCCCTAAAAGCAATTAATACAGATGCTATGTATGGTGCAAATGCATGTATCCGATACCTTAACTTGGGAAATTAAATAAAAGCAACATCAAACTTTGGTTATATATTAATTGCATGTCTTGATTATCATACAAAAATAGCAAGTTTTCCATAACTTGTATACATACATATATATATAAGTTATAGAATATGATATATGTAAAGAATCATTAGAATTATAAGATTAAGAAACAAAACTAAGATGGGTATTTTTTATATAATATATTATTAATATACAGGACTAACTCTTTACGGAATACCAAAAAAATAATTCAATATTAAAACAAAATTTGCTGATATTCATAGTGGGTCTAATAAGCTAAATTTGGGGAAGATAGTCAAACAAATACGAGGATGATGACAGTTATAATAAGTATAAGTTTCAATAGTAAGCAGCATAGTTTTTTTTTTTTGTTGCCATATGGTCTGAGTGAACATGAAACGAAACAAATATATATATGTGTGTATATATATATATACATGATAAATATTATAGAAAAGGAAAACATAGGACCCTTTTCGTAAGGCGTCGGGGTTGAAAAGGATGGAACATGGAGGATGTGTGCGCATGCCTCATAACATTTTTGCAGTGCTAAGAAAATTCCCCCCACAAGGAGAGGCTTTAGATTTCAGTTAAATGCTACGAAAACGACTTTGATCAATATTTTTATTTTTATATATTTCGGTGTATTTATTCCCATGTTTCATGCATGATGTTTTAATTTTGCCGGTTGTGCGTTTATATTGTTTAGTTTTGGTACACATATTTTTATTTATGACATCTTGGTTTTAGGAGGACAAGATATGTAGGCATCGTTGTAAAATTATTAACGAAATACTTGGCGATATCCATTATTTGATTAAGGCTCATATCTTAACGATCGGAGTTCTTGTTTAATTATCTCTAACGAGTTTATGTGTATATATATATATATATATATATATATCAATTTGCCGACAGTGTACCCAAAAGAAATGTCAATGAGTTTGGTTGAATTGTGGGGTATAATTTGAAACGATAATAATGATAATAATAATAATAACCATTTTCAAGGTTTCGAAGTTTTGACCTACACATAAAAACACACCCTTTGTTGATCCATTGCCTAAGAGCATAGGTCATAGTAAGATCACTATTATATACATGCATGTATAAATATAGAGAAAGATAGAGAGATTACATACACGAACCTAATCGGACGTTTGCCAGATAGGCTACGGTTCTAAGAACTGATATACATATATATATATATGTGTGTATGTGTGTGTGTGTGTGTAAAAATGAAAGTGAAGATTGATTTCGTTACACCCACGTGAGAGAGAGAGAGAGAGAGAGGGAGAGAAGACGTGATTCGCGTTATCCACTTTGATGAAATGTCTTTATGAATGTATCTTCATGGTGAATACTTTCGTGTTGTTCCACGGGAATTTAAAAAAATAAATAAATAGCCCACGTGTTTCTATGCAAACTGTGATCCGAAATTATGTATAAGAAATCTGATTCCAATTGGAAAATTTATGATGTGATAACTAAAATTAAACCCGAATCAAATGAATAATTAATCCTACTATCAATTATTTGTGAAACAAATTCTGCATAGTAAATTGAAGACACCATTGTTTCTTACCACTTCTTCATCAAGTGGTAAATTAGGACAAGTCATATTAAACACCTATTATATATATATATATGTATATAATAGGACAAGTCATGAGACATTGTCTGCCCCTCTTTGTTGTCATTAAACCCCAAAATTAGGCTTTGTTTCATTGTTTGTATGAAATGGACCACCAAAAATAAAGAGGAATATTAAAAAAAAAGAAAGCCTTCATTTTCTATTAAAAAATCTCTCCTTGGACCACTCCTCCACTCTTCTCTTCTTTCATTCTCATTGCTCACTTTTAGTTGTGCATTTTACATCTCTTTCATAATCTCAAGTCTCCCTCCTCCACCCAAAAACATCTAGTAGATAAGATACAAACATATTGATAATGTTGAGATTTTTCAGAGATTTTGGGTATCCGATATGATAATTCGAGATTGAATCTTCTTCTATATGGTAATATAATGTGCAAGTATGATTAGCATAGATGAAAGATTGGAAACGTGGGACGATTGGGAGTCGAAATGTGTATTGATTTTTTGTGATATAAAAACGTATTTGCATGCATTCAAGACTTAGATGTGAGGTTAATATGGGAAGCACCTACAAGTATTTTGTTTCAAGTAAGATGGATACATCTAGCTCAAGGAAGATGTAAAAGCCCTATAATTAAAAGGTATGACGGTGCATTATTGGAATGATTCTATAGAGACGATATGGCATACTAGCTATTTCATTTCAAATATTTCTAATGCATTGAGATTAATAATAATAATAATAATTTAAATCGATTTTCAGTTAGTCCATAAATATGGAAAATATGATTGATAGAGAAATGCAGACGTTTTATGCATAACAGTCATCCTTTTTCCACAATCTGAACTTTGAACTCAAAGACAGACAGAAATATACAACAAACTCAACCCCATATGAAATGAAATATAACAGCGACAATCACAAAAGAGAAAACCGAGTGATTAGAAAAACGACAACGTTACCTCAGATTATTTTTTTTGTCGATTGGATCAAAGGGAGCCACCGGTGACGCATACGTGAAAGGGCGGTCCACGGCAAAAGATGGGTTCTTCTGGAGATTCGGTCCGTGCCCGAGCTCTCAGGACGTTGTTTGCGTCCTCAATCACGGCAGCTGCAACCATCGTGTACTCTCCCGGGACTAGGAAATACATCGAGAAACCATGCCTTATCTCTTCCAGTGGAGGAACTTCCATCGTGATCTCACTCAGAGCACCTGAGGAATCGAGGGCAAAGATCTCAATGTTCAAGGACTAGATGGAATGATTGCTTGGCCAAAAGGGTTGATGATTTGAATTTGGAAAAAAAGAAAAGAAAAGAGAAGAATGAAATATTTACCAGCCCAAAGAACAGTGGCATCAGCCCCTTCAACGCAGTTCTGTCCCGCTACATCTCTGCATGTAACACTGAGACTCAGCTTGATTGCTTCGCTTGTGTTATTTCGGACCAGAACCTCCATTGGAGTCATTTCAAGTGCCGAGACCGACCCTTTGGATGCCAGGGACTCGGGCTGTCTCCCAGAACCGTGTCTTACCAGTCTAAAACCAAACGTTAGTGGATCAGGAAGTAGAACATCCATCACAGACGTCTGAAGGGCTGCTTGGATTGCATCCTTGATGTTCAATTCTCCCGAACTGTTCCTCCCCGACTGCCATCGGACCTTTATCTTTGAAATGAGATTCTTGATCAATGCATTTATCTCAGCCTTCGTGTTCTTCTCTGAGAAGCTCGGGGTTCTACCGCTTGTACTGCTGCTACCACTCCTGTCGGACTGGGAATCCTTCGTGAAGAATGAACCGTCGAGAACTGGTAACTTAAAATGCTCTAATGGAATCAGTACCCTGGCAGAGCAGTCCCGATCAATTCTTGTTTTTGGGTACTTGTACTCTGGAGAACCCTGGACAGTTGGAGATTCATCGTCCTTTGTCGGATTTTCCAGCTGGACAGAGACGCAGATTTCGAATACAACATCAGTTGGGTTAGATAACTCGAGTTCAAGAAACCGCAGTCCCCAGCTTCCCCTGAAGGGATTGATCTTCACTAATCTGTCTGTCTTGCTCTCTGTCTCAATCGTCTCATTCGGGAGGTTTTCACCCACATGTGCAGGAATTTCCATTGAAAGCAAACGAGCTTTGACAAAAGATAAACTCTGCAACACACAGATTTGCAAGGGAACAACGAGGCGTCTGCCAGGTGGCATGACAGATTCTTTTGCCTGGGGATCCCCGTTGTTAGATAATGGCCCTGCCACAAGAATGAAAAGAAAAAGCTATTAGGAAATGTGAAAGCAGTGCAAAAAAAAAAAATTTAGTAAGATACACCACAAAACACAAGCCAGTGAAGAGAAGAGTACCTGCGTAATGGATGAGTAATGACGGGCTGATCCCGTCTTTTGCATTTCTCCCTGTGTTACCTGCGGCAGTCCTGCCAGCGACAGTAGTGTTTCCAGAATCCATTGGTCCCAGCTGCCAAGCTTTTAGAGTCACCGGCACAGTGGCTTCTGCTCCAGGTTTCAAAGGAAGAGCAGATTGTAAAGCTTCATATGCTATAGAGGTAACAGCGTCCTGATTCTTCCCTGAGAGTGAGACATGTGCCTGCTCTATTGGAACTGTGCCGGCATTTGCAAATCTTATCTGTACCTCACGGATTTCACCTTCATACAGAATAGTTGCACCATCTCCACCCACAACATTAGCCACTAGCAGTGGCAGTGGCGGTACGACTGATATATTCGGAACAGTTACATGCCGTAGCTTTGCAGATCCGCAGGATCTGAAAGGGTCTGAAAATACAAGGCCCTGCACTGCTCCGAGGAGCAGATTGTTGACATCCTTGAAAAAATGTTCAGTTATCACACCGAAACAATGAACGATGCAGCCCGGAATTCTTACTGGCCCCACTTCAGTTGGGATACCAGACAAGGTGATGACCTTTGCAGAGTTAGGTGGGAGGTCTACACTGACAGGAAATGCATCAAAATTTCCTGAATTGGCTGAGAGATATATACTGTCAACCCTTAAATCGAAACAACATGGATTTGCCAACTCCACTAAGACTTGAACTGGTTCACCAACCACCCAAATCAGGTCCTGCTTGCTACTATCGTTCGCCTCTCCTTTGCTAAAAGGAGTATAGATAAATGGCCCTGAAGGCGCTGACCCTGCCCACCAGTCTTCCCTTGCTGGATTCCTTTTTACAATGTCCATTTGGGAGGAAACGAGAGGGAAAGAATGTAGCCTGAAATGAAACAGATACCCTATACTTTCAAAACTTTCGAATCCTTGCCAGAGGCAGCTAATAAGCACACTTGGACATTTCGAGATACAGAAGAAACTAAACACAACTTGTAAAGTTGGATGAGGGGTCGGGATTACGGGTCCAAGCATGTGTCTCAGAGTAAGCTTTGGATTGACATAATGAAGATAGATAGTATTGTGAGAGTAAGAGAGTGCAGAAGGCAAATCATTAATGAAATGGACATTGTAAATCGTTAAGGAACAAACCTTATGAAAGGTAAGGCAGGGTCAGCACAGCGAGTTCCTGAAGGCAATCTACCCGCAGAATTTGCAAGGGAACTGGCAAGTCCATTTTGACCAAAAGGTGTAATTAGGGGATAATGCCATCTCAGAAGCCTCGCTGCAGCACTCCAAGCAGCAAGAGGATCCCCAGCACGAACAGCAGATAGGAGTATTTCCCTCAGCACAACCATCTGCAAAGTGCTCCACTGAGACTCGAACAGGGAAATGATGGAGTGATGATGCATCTTTCCCGCATCAGCTTGACGGGATCCAGCTTCCTTTTGTCAAAGAAAAGGGGGTAACAGAATGCTTCAACAATTAAATCAATCATGAAAATCATTAACAACAAAGACAATGATTTGTAATGATATAAACGACAATATATTCACAAGTACTTACATTGGTAACAGAAACTTTGGACACGGATGCTCTACTTTGAATTCTGTATGCATTGGTTGTCATGGCCAGAACTTGCAAAGCACTGATAGCAGCCAATCGGTTATCTTGTTGCAGATACAACTGAGCTACCTGCCTACAGAAGAAGGCTGCTTTCCGTTGATAACCAAGTGCTCCAAATAAACGGGCTACTTCAACATATAATATGAGCCTGTCACTGGCATCAATTAAAGACTTTGCGCCATCCGCAGCATTTGTTAGTAACTCTCCTACTTCCTTAGCCAGCTCTCTCCTGTATGAGCCACAAAAATGCCAATGTAAGACAATACCAAGAGATCATATCAAAAGTGACATAACCCAAGAAATAATGCGGATCAAACCAGAAAGCAGAAAAAAGAACAAACTGCCCAAGTTAAGGGTCAGCCAGATTTAAGACTAAAAGTAAAAGGCAACGCAACCCGTTGACCTTAAGCCAATCTACATATTTAGAATTGAATGAAGGTAAACAATCACCACTCTCAAAACATTCCAAAGATCTTTTTTCACGTTCAAACGCCAACGGCCTTCTAGGACAAATCACCAAAGCCAACAAACAACGTGGTAGTATAAATCAAATCTTTTAGTGGCTACAGAATATAATAGCTAATAAATTTTCCTATGAGCTAATACAGTCTATTTTATGCATCATATGCAAAAGGCGAACAAAATACAGTCTCTTTTGAACCTTGGGACTTCTTAAATTTAAGGACATCCTTTTTCAGGACCAACGACTAGAAAAATCTACCCAGTCTCAAGAACATAAAGTTATGAGTCAAGAAGAAAAAGTAGAAATTATAAATATATCAAACTACTTATCCTGAAAGTCTAAAAGTCTAATCAAGATTCAGTTAGCAATATACCTTATGGCCATTTCGACATCCAACTCTTAGCTCTATAATAGTAATATAAGACTAAAGTATTTTCAACAGACAATAAATCCAACAGATCAAGAAACCCCACCATACGTTTCTGGAATAAAAAACTAAATAGGAGAACCAAGAACAGAATAATACCTACAAAGGAACCTGGCCAATTTAATGGTGGCTTCGAGTTCGAAGCTTAAAGGGGAAACTCTGCAAATTTGAAAAAAAAAAACTAATTGGTAAATGCAGAAACGTTAAAGGAAGAAGCACCAAACAACTAAATATGCATTGAGGTACCTCTGAGCAATTTCTTGAATGAATGACTTTCTGTAATGTAAGATAACATTGGTGTACCGGTATCTAACTTCATCCTCTAAAGCCGCATTCCGTTGATCCATCCTATCAACCTAATACGACAAAGACAGAAAAATTAGATGATTGTGCACATAAACATTTACATTCATAGCAGCTAAGCTAATTAACATTCAATTTCAAATTTGTTGTGCCATATAATCCTGCAGAAAATTCAAGCTCAAATAATCTTTGCTTAGGCCAAAAACAAAAGAAAAAAAACGTACCAGTAAGGCGCAAACACTGCCTTCCAAGGCACCGGCATACCAGAAGTAATCTGCTGTCAATCTGGCCAGTTCTAGTGCAGTAGAATAATGGGCATTGGCATCGACAGGTGAACCAGCCAACAAGCAATAATCCCCTATAGTCTTCTGAGCACGTCCCAGCCTTCGCTTTTTGGCCTTGATAACCTGCATTAAACCAAACTAATGAGCCTTGAAGATTATAGTAACCCATACATGAGCCACCATAGGAAATATTGAAATGTAATTGAACTTTATAGGACACCTAAATATAAACCTCCTCTGAGTTGAGACTCGCTTGAGAATCTAAAGGTGTCTTCAAAATTGTGCCTGAAGATTCTGCCTGAAGAACCCATTTCTCGAATTCCATTAACAGCGATGCAGCAATGTCTTGCATCATTGTTTGCAAATGAAATTCCTGCGTTCGCCTGTCAGCTGGAGGAAACAGTATCAAATTGTCGCCTTTCTTGTCTCCATCTTCGAGCTGCGAAAGAGTACATTTAAGATTAATTCATCAATCAAATACCACATAGATCAGGACCAACGTTGGAATAGCAACGACAACCATGAACATGACATAACTCTGTCGGTGAAGCACTTGACACCCTAAAAGCAAATCTGTTAGATTACTTATCAGAACCATCATCATATCAATTACTCGAACTGCCGATCCGGAAACCATACAAGGTGATGTATAAAGATCAGTTTCATATTTTCGTGCACATTCTAGTTTGCTCAGTCCATTTCGAACTAGGATGAACTAACCAATCAATCGTAATGCAGAAACTAAAGATACCCACTTGGGAATCGCCGGGGCAAAACGCGAAGCAACGCCGGACAAGAGCCGAGGAGTAGCTCTTACACGCAACATTGAACTGTTCGATAACTGCAGCAAGATCGGGAGACGAAGGACAGTGGCAAAGCCCGATCACGGCGAGGATCTTCCGGTGAGACTGGAAATCCTCCCAGGGACTCGGGGGAGCGCCGCCGAGCACGAACTTGAACCGGAGCGAGCCAGAATCCCATGGCTGGTTTGTGAACGGAGATTTCTGGTGCTCGGTGTAGAAGGAGCTGATGGCGGAGAGAGGGATCGTGTGATGACGGAGGAGTATCGAGTGGTACTCCCGGAGAATAGCCGGCGGGATTGTTCCGATCGGAAGTACGGCGATCCGGATCATCGACGAGGTTTCGATACTCACGTCGGGTTCCATGGTGGTGATCGGAGGACGACGGAACCAGGGAGGAGCTTACGGTGAGGGTGAGAGCACGGGGATCTGCAGAAGCAGGACCGAGCGGAAATAAAGCAGAAGGTGGAGGCGTGGTGTTTGGGTACAGATCTTAACTTATTCTTACAAATGATAAGTTATTACAAGGTGGGATCGAGCTATTGAGTTAACCAAACATCCAGATATTTTTGCTCTCAGCATGTCATGTCGTTTTATAAAGCCAGTAACAAACTGTTTGTTGTTCGAACCAAACAGACATTGAATATTTTTTGTTAATTTCTACACTGTATTCTCCCTTGATTAGCGCGAAAGCTAGAGCAGCTGCAGCCATGGCGTCGCCACCGGTAGGAAGATTGATAGATACTACAGGGTGTATGTTAGAGGCAGGAGTGGGCAGAAGAAGGTGCAAGGAGCAGAAGGGAACAAGGCTGAAGAAGCAGAAGCAGGAGGAAGGGATTGAGTCAACAAGAGGAAGTCAACAGGAGGGCTCTACAGGCAAAGGTACGCACCTATTGGTTGTTATGTGTTGTTGGTAGTTAGTATAGTTGTTGACAGCTGTATAGATTGTTTGTAGTTCGTTATATTGGTTAGTAGTTAGAGTTTCTGTTAGGAGGGGATTGTATAAATAGAAGTAGAATTGATGGAGGAGGGTTAGCGAGATTCTGCAGGAAACTTGTAAAGGGAAGAGAGTGGGGACCTCTCTCAAATCAAAGTCATCCAGTTTGTACCTTGTTTTGGTGATCAATAAAGCTGGTCAGTTCTTCTTGAGGAGGATCCAGCCACTTGAACCTTAACAGATTGGTATCAGAGCAAGTCTGAGCCATGACGAAGAGCAACACGCAACGTTGGGAGCAATTGGAGGATACGGTCCATGACAGATGCGAGAAAATCGAAGAAACAATGGCAGATCTACAGAAGCAGTGTGCGAAAATGGATGAGCTGCAAAAACAATGTTCGAAAATGGATGAGCTGCAAAAACAATGTTCGAAAATCGATTCGATGGGGAAAATGTTGGAGAAACTGTGTCGAATGGTCGATGGGATCCAGAATCGTCAAGGAGCTGGTCCTGAGACGATTCCGCCACCGATAACCAGCCAGGAGAGATCGCAAGGTGTTCGCGACACAAATCCGAGTGCCAGTTGCAATCCAGAGCCGCAAATTGTAGAGGATCGAGTACATGAGGTGGAACAAGAGATTAAGGAGCCGATTCCAAAGACAGAAGCGGATAATGAATCGTGTCATCAGGAGCGATTTATTGGGAAGAGCTCCAGTACTGCTGCTGCTGCTATTACTGCCCCGTCGTGTTACGGATCTGAGACCTCATAACCTTGTCATCTACCGTAAGCTTCTCCTCCTCAGAGCTTCAGCTTCCACTATTTTCCGTTTGTTTCCCGGGAAAGTTTCCATATGCTTCGAGGGTAATGAGATACTCATCGTAATTCGTTGAGTACAATTATGTGATTTCACAGTTATTCAGGCATGAAATCGGAGATGTAGATTTTGTAGGTGCTAGAGTTGTCTTTTGGTTGTTTTCCCACGATTTCTATTAGGTGGATGTTCTAATATATTGAGAAATGTTTTCGATAGGAGTCTTTGTTTAATCAATGGATGTAGAGGATTCAGAGAGATTTCTCTCAGACATATTGCATTGACGGAGAAGATTAGGAAGCAATCAAGTGAAACCATTGGTTTCTGTTCCTTTTGTTTGGTGTCATTGTTTCGAAGGTTAAATTCTAACAAACTAGAATTGTATTCTTTCCCCTGAAGAATTTTGCGTTTGGGAACTTGAATTCTTGTTCCATTTTCACTTGAATTGTATTATGTTGAATTCTTGATCCTGGAGATGTTCCTGAGTTGGAGAGCTTGGTAATAGAACTTGTCAATTCCTTGAATTCGTTGATTCTTGTATAAGAATGTTGTCTTAGGTCTCGACAAAACAGATCTGGAGAATAATGTTTTCCAAGTTCTAGCTCGATTTTAGCATTGTTATCATCACCTGCGGATCAGGTAATTTTAGTTTGTAAATCATTCTCATTAGTATATGGGCTTACAGGTGTTTTTCCCTGTTGAGTCACTGCCTGGTATAGATGCAAATGTCATTTCAGTTGCCAAAATCGATTTCCAAATTCGCCAACACAACAAGCATATGTTTGGAGATAGTAGACAATATTGTTGTTCGATTCATGATAACATGCAGCACGCGAGATACATTGTCAATTCTTAATGAGGTCTGCAATTTGGTACAGGATCCTGTTCTGGCTGGATAAGATAGTAAATACTCTAATTCCGTGTTGCTTTACCACGTTGGGTGCTTGCATTTTTCATTGGCAAATAACCATTATCCATAATGATTTGAGTATTATATCATTTTGATGGCCTTCAAGAGGGCAAATGCAATCTGCTCATTTCCTTTGGTTTCTGGTTTTGGGGAACATCTCGAGAGGAGTGTCCTAGATGCAGGTATTGATAGGGCAATAAACATTACAGGGCATTTAGGTGATATGTAGGTAGTGGTTTGGGAATGCTTTTAGGAACTACCCATGGTTGCTGGACTGGCTGACAGACCCATTTCACTTGAACTAATCTCCTTTTTTCTCTATATCATCTAAGACAGACCAGATCTTCTGGATCTAGTTAGAGATAACGTGAGCAAGAGAAGCTTGCGATGCGCCGATACACATGTTCTGGACCTGGTCGAATTGATCTTAAGACCTCCAAATCTCGAGCCTCCACTCGTCCCAGAGCAGAGTGATGCGGTACTTTTCTACATTCCTCTTTCATGTCATAAACATCTTGTTTTTATTGATCCTTCTCTGTGACTGTTATCTCGTGTCTGATAAACGAGTGAATGCAAGAATCCCGGTTAAGATGGTTGTTAACTAAAGGGACTTGTAGGGAACGAAACCCAGAAAAGAAGAAAAGGGAGCGAGGAGATGAGAGAGAAATGGGAAAATTTCAATTGTATTTTTCTATCTGTAAAACGTGTCTGTACATGTGCTTATATACAGCAATAAAATAACAAACTTCCTAACAAATCAAATAACAGAAAGAATGAAAGGAATTGTGCTAACAGAATCGTTACAATATATGTAATATGTCCTCCTCAAGTCTGATTCGGAAGAAACAGACTTGAAAGATGAAAACGCTGCAGCAAATAATGGAAGACAGCAGGTCGAAGAGCCTTGGTAAAGACATCAGCCAGCTGATTTCCTGTTGTAACATGCATAGTGCGAAGAAAACCCTGCCGAATCTTGTCACGGACAAGATGACAATCAATCTCTATATGTTTAGAGCGCTCATGAAAGGCTTGGTTTGATGCCAAATGCAGGGCTGACTTGTTGTCGCAATACAAATTCGCAGGGGTGACATATTCCAGCTGAAAATCTTGCAGCAAATTATCAATCCAAACTAACTCACAGGCTGTGTTTGCTAAAGCCCGGTATTCAGCTTCGGTGCTGCTGCGAGAAACCACACTTTGCTTCTTAGCCTTCCATGAAATGAGCGAAGAGCCAAGAAAGACGCAAAATCCAGAAACTGAGCGTCGAGAATCCGAACATGTGGCCCAATCAGCGTCAACGAATGCCTTTAAGTGTAAATCAGAGGCAACCGAATAGAACAACCCTTGACCGGGGTTATTCTTTAAGTACTTGATCACCCGAAGTGCCGTTTTCATGTGCAAATCAGTTGGACGTGACATGAACTGAGTCAACTTATGAACTGCAAAGGTAATATCTGGTCTAGTGATAGTTAAATACAGAAGACGTCCAACAAGAGCTCGATATGAGGTTGAATCTTCCAAAGGCTGACCAGAATCCTGTGACAGGTGTAAATTAGGATCTAAGGGAACAGAAACAAGCTTAGTGGCAAGTAAACCTGTATCTTCAAGAAGCTCCAAACAATATTTCCGTTGAGAAAATGGAGATGCCCGATGGATTCCGAGCTATCTCTAAGCCCAAGAAATACTGCAAAACACCCAAGTCTTTGATGTGAAAATGATCACGAAGCATAGTTTTAAGATGAAGAATGGCATCATCATTGTTCCCAGCAATGATGATATCATCCACATAGACTAGGAGAGCCACAAAAACAGATCCAGTTTTCTTAATGAAAAGAGTATTGTCTGATTGTGACTGCCGATAGCCAGCTCGAATCAAAACGGAACTGAACTTGGTGTACCATTGCCTCGAAGCTTGACGTAATCCATATAAACTTTTGTGAAGTTTACAGACAAGATTAACAGGAAGAGGGTCAGCAGAAGTATACCCAGGAGGAAGATCCATGTAAATCTCCTCATCAAGCTCCCCATGTAGGAAAGCATTAGTGACATCCAACTGAGATAATTTCCAATTCTGAGTTGCAGCAAGAGCAAGCAGCAATTTAACCGTAACAAGCTTGGCAACCGGAGAAAATGTATCAATGAAGTCAACTCCTTCTTGTTGGGTAAATCCTTTCGCAACCAATCTGGCTTTGTATTTATCAATGCTGCCATCAGAATTTCTTTTGATTCGATACACCCATTTGCATCCGACAGTGCGTTTATCAGCAGACAAACTAACAACAGACCAAGTACCATTGGCATGCAAGGCCGACAACTCAACATCCATCGCCTGAATCCAATTATCAGATTTCACAGCCTGTTTAAAGGTTCGAGGCTCTGTGTCTTGGCTAAGCTGAAAAATGAACTTCTTGTATAAAGGGGTTAACTTGTCATAAGACAAAACAAATGACAATGGATATAATGGCTCGGGTGAGGAAGAAGAAGAAGAAAGGGTTTGGTGTGTAGTGAAATAACAGTGATAGTCCTTTAAGTAGGAAGGGGAATGTTTATTTCGATGTGGTCTATTATCAGAAATAACAGGGCTAGGGGTAAGGGGCCCTGTAGAATCGACAAAAACCTCAGATGCAGATAAATCTGAAGAAGTGGCCGAATCTGCAGGAGAAGTGGTATTCTGGGAAGGAGAAACAGCAGGAACAGTGTCAAAAAAGGGTAAAGGTATAATAGCTCGAGGAAAAATAAAGTCAAGAAAAGAATCAGAGGGTAAAAGATTTGATACCAAGGGAAAAATATCCTCATGGAATTCTACATTCCGAGAGATATAGACTCTGTTGCTGTCAAGGTCTAAAAGCTTATACCCCTTATAACCATCAGGATAGCCAATGAACACAGCAGCATTAGATTGCGGGCTAAACTTGTGACGCTCATGAGCAAAGGTTAAGCTATAGCACAAGCACCCAAAAGCTCGCAAATGATCATAAGTCGGTTGTTTACACATAAGTACCTCAAAAGGACTGCGATGTTGCAAGAGAGGCGAGGGCGTCCTATTCACCAGATAAACTGCTGTACGAATACAATCAGACCAAAACTGCAATGGAAGATTGGACTGAAATAATAAAGCCCTTGCAACATTCAATAGATGTTGATGCTTCCTTTCAACGACAGAGTTCTGCTGCGGGGTGTAGGCACACGAGAAAAAATGTTTCATGCCATGTTATTGACAGAATTTTGTGAAGGCCAATTCAGATGCATTATCACTACGGATTGCTTTGATTTGAGTTCCAAACTGACACTTAATCATAGCAACAAACTCAGGAAAGATAGTGAGAACATCACTTTTACGTTTGAGCATGTAAACCCAGGTTGCTCGAGAAGCATCATCGACAAGAGTAAAGAAAAAACGATATTCTTCCACAGAAACAATGGGAAAAGGACCCCAAATGTCCATGTGAATAAGATCAAAATGATTAGGAGAGAGATGATTATGAGACTCAAAAGGTAGACGTTTCTGTTTCGCAAGATGGCAAACTTTGCAATGAGAAACAGAAAAATCTTTACGAGAGAGATCAAGAATAGGGGATAACATCTTAATTTTCATATTAGAAGGATGTCCAAGGCGTTGATGCCAAAGATGAGCATCTACAACAATGGCATTACAAGAAAAAGAAACAGAAGAAACATGATGTGAAGTATCTGAAATTGAAAAAGGCTTGAAGCTAGTATCCAAGAGGTATAGATTGTGATGAAGACTAGCCTTCCCAATCATGTAACTTCGAGTATGATCCTGGATGAAACATGAAAGAGAATTAAAATGAAATGAGAAATCACTGATCCGAAGAAGGGAAGTGAGACTGACAAGATTAAAACGAAAAGAAGGTATAAAAAGAACATTATGAAGAGATAAAAAAGGATTAATGATGACAATTCCAGAAACAGTGATGTTTAAACAATGACCATTGGGCAAGGTAACAGAAGTTGCTGGAATGGATTTAACATCAGTAAGGAGACTCAAATCAGAGCAAACATGAATGGATGCACCAGAATCAACAATCCAAAATCTGTCAGGAAATGATGTAGATAAAACTACTTCAGAATCCACAATCAACGAAGAAATGATATGAGAAATACCAGACTTATCAGGAGCACCAGATGCCGAGACTGAGGGAGCTGAATTCATGTTCAAACGTTCTCCAAGCATATGGTATAGTTTTTGTAACTGCTGAGGAGAGAACAAATCATTTTCAGAAAATGAATTGTTAGAATTATGCAGACCTGAGTCGGTTCGAACAGCAGCAACAATGCTCTTGCTGGGAGGAGGCCTCGGGCTAACAGAGATCGTCTTGGTGTCTGAAATTCTCTGATTGCGGCGATATCCAGGAGGATAGCCATGTAATTTGTAACACTTATTGACAGTATGACCATACATACCGCAGTGAGTACAGAGAGGCTTTTGCTTAGGCCTGAACTGATTTCCAGAAATAGTAGCAACCACATCAGACGACTTAGAGGATTGAGCAGAAACCTAAAATACTGGAATATCAGTAGGAGGAAGAGCTTTGATCCAACGTTGGTGCTCATGTTGATTCACCAGATGAAAAGCATTCTGAAGATCAGGCAAAGGATCAATCAATAAGATCTGATCAATGATATTCTCATAAGAATCATTGAGACCAAAAAGAAAATCCATAACAAACTCCTCCTCAAACATATCATTCCATCGTTTATCAACATTGCAGGTGCATTTACCATACTCACAATAAGGTGAAGAATGAAGAGATTTACGTTCTTCCCACAGAGCACAAAGCCTGTTGAAAAAAGTAGTGACATCCAGCGAGCCTTGCTGGAGGGAGTAGAGGCGCCGTTTAAGGCTGAAACGGCGAGGAGCATGCTGTTGCTGGAAACAATTCAACAACATATTCCACATTTGCAAAGCAGTCTTCGCATAGAGAAGCTGAGAATGAATCTCAGCGGAGACAGAATTCATGATCCAAGCACAAACCATGATGTTTGCACGAGACCAAAGAATCAACTCAGGATCAGAATCGAGAGGTTTAGGAAGAGTACCGTCAACAAAACCGAGCTTATTTCGACATTCAAGCGCCATAGTCATGGAGATATGCCAGGAATTAAAATCGGTAGTACCAGTGAGCGGACGAGAAACCAAAACCAAATTCGTCTGATCAGAAGGACCCAAATAATAGGGACTGATATAAGAATCAGGAGCTAGATCAGGCTGAATCGGAACCGGGACATGAGTCACGAATTCGTCAGTCATTTTCCCAGAAAATGAAGAAATCTCAGAAATAGGAAAGAAGACTAGTCAAAGTAAGGAAATCCCAAAAGAAAACAAGCGAAATCAGAAAAAATCACCAACGAAAGCTGATTTCTGCTCTGATACCATATCAGCAGAGCTGTACGAAACCCAGAAAAGAAGAAAAGGGAGCGAGGAGATGAGAGAGAAATGGGAAAATTTCAATTGTATTTTTCTATCTGTAAAACGTGTCTGTACATGTGCTTATATACAGCAATAAAATAACAAACTTCCTAACAAATCAAATAACAGAAAGAATGAAAGGAATTGTGCTAACAGCGACGACGACGACGACGACGACGACGACGACTGACAAAACATGTCCACAAAGGGATGGTTCGACTCGCAATCTCTAGACATGAAAAAACACTTACAAACATTAGTTCAAATGATAAAATATTCAGGAAATTTAGAACTAGCCTTACTGTATATTGACCAGAAATCTAAACAATAGATCATAGCTTAATTCATTATAATTGAGATAAATTTCTATTAATTGCAACTAACAAATTTTAATTTTAGAATAAAAAATGATATTGATAGTTTAAATTTTAAAACATTATATTTTAATATTACAATCTGGAACCCTAACATATGGTTAAAAATATATTTTTGTCATCAAACTTTATTGTATTCGATAAAATTTCTCTTAAATTGTTAGTTTCGATAATAATATAAAAAATTTTGTTATTTTGAAATACTTTTCTATATTATATCGCCTATCCGCTCATACAGACAAGTCCTCAAAACTATGATATAAATCCATGATTTTTGTAGAAACAACAACCCAAAAAGGAATAGAAATATCACAGTTTTTTTTTGTCCCCGATCGCCGGTTCGAAACCAGCCGATGGGAAGAGAGGGATAGCTTGTTACTCTCTAAACCCTTACTCTAAAAACTATTTCCAGAACCTGATGGGATGTAGTTTAGGCCGAAGGTCTAAGTTAACCTCTCGGTTAAAATTTTTTTTTTAACATTAAAATCAAAGATAGCTATCAATTAAACTGAAGGATCAAGAGAGAGAGAGAAAAATTACCTAACACGCTTTATATTTTTTTTTGTACCAATTTTTGTGTGGGAGAGAGAGAGAGAGAGAGAGAGAGAGAGAGAGAGAGAGAGAGAGAGAGAGAG